TTAGTATTCTTGTAGACCATTTTGGGACCAACACCATGTCCTGACCTAGAGGTTGGTCACTTTGCATCCTTAACCTCGTTCTCCTCTTTGTGGTGTCTTGCTAGATCTTGGGAGTTTAATAGAGCGTTCTTGAAAGCTTTACACCATAATCTAGAGGTTTAGCTTATGGATCTAAAGTATCCATCTTTAGAACCTAAATATTTGGGTTTAAAACTTAAGTTTAACTTAACCTAGCAAGGTAAGTCTCACGTTACTTTGTAAAAACGTTGTACTTATCAAAACATCCTCCTTTTTGTCTATTTTATTTTGTGGAGCTTTACATGCCTAATGAGTTGTTTGACTAACCATTTGAGCATGGGGTTTGTTTTAGGTAAATGTTTGGAAACACATATTATTTGATTTATTTGACTTCTTTAAGTTATAGATCATGCGGTTTGTGGTTGGTTGATTATTTGACCGTTTTTGGATAATTTACATGTATATGGACATAAACGTTTAGAAATTTAATACTTTGAAGTATTTGGCAATTTAAGATGTAAAACCCATGGATTTAAGACTTTTGTCGGTTTGAAACCATTTAAAATGTTGTGATTAAGAATTGTCAAACTTTTAAGTCGTTCATCGTTTAGAGGAGACTTAATGGTCATAATTGAGTTTTATGCGATATTTTAATCACGTGAGCATGATTATGTGAGTTTTGTAAATAATGGACATTGTTGGGTGCTATCGCTCTTTTGGGTGCAATTAACATCATAAACTTTAGAAAAGGCATAGAATCAGGTTGTTTGAATATTTCGGGGAACCCAAATCACGTTATGTTATCTAGAGATGATTTTTTTCAATCGTAACATGATATGTTAGAGTTATTTCTATTTTGGTACACAAGAATGCGTAAACATTGAAGTAACGCAACTACAGTTCACCGATATTGACCTTTTGTTGAAGTGGTCTTATTAGTTGTGAATTTTGGTTAGCTGAGACTTGACTAATTGAGTTTGGAAATTTGGCCAACCTTAATGTACAACAATTATGGTTGAATTAAAAGGGTATTTGTTGCATAATTATTGGGGTTTTTGCCCAAATTTCAGTTGTTCGCTATTAATATATGTTTTCATTATGTGACCCTTTTATCATATCATATACTAAAATATATGTCATGCAAAGTAAACCTCCTCGAGCCACTCCACGAATCCCAGGCCATGGCCTCGTCCTCGACCACGCTCCACGAATCCCAGGCCATGGCCTCGTCCTCGACCACGCGCACATTGCACCTTCCATTCAAACTCCCACCATGAGCCCAACACATTCAAGGCCCACTTTGAGGTGAGAGCTTAAAAAGCTCTTTATTATTCTTATTCTTGCCAATGTGGGATGGAAGAAATTTCCTACCTCACTAATTTTCCATCATTATCGTCTCTTTTATCTGTCTCGCTCTCGTAGCATCATCACAAACAAACTCACACCTTACTAGGGGTGAGCATAGGTGGGTACCCGCCCTTTTTGACAGGAACCGGAACCGGAACCGGCGGTTCTTGAGATATTGGAACCGGAACCGGAACCGGAACCGGAACCGGAACCGGAACCGGTTAGAGCGGTTCTAAATTTTTTGGAACCGGAACCGGAACCGCCGGGAACCGGTTCCGGTTCCGGGTACCCGCTTCCTAAAATATTAAAATTTTGTTATTTAAAAATAAAAAATAAAACATTGCCAAAACACTAAATAAATAAGCAAAAATACAAATTATACAGAATAATGGTTACAAATATTGTTTAATGATTACAAACCATAATAGACTAATAGAAAATATTCAAAGTTTAACGATTACATACTATAATGATAAATGTTCAAAGTTTAACGATTACATAMTAYGAATCCAAGTGAACACACAATTTGAAAAAATACGAATCATTTTATATGAAGAATTTAGATGAAGAATGAAGATGACGATGTACTTTCAAGATGTAAACCTAATATAAATTTGGTATTAAAAAATAATAATTATTTTTTTATTGAAAAATACCGGGTACCCGGCGGGTAACGATTCCAAAAAATTGAGAACTGGAACCGTTCTCAATCGGTTCCGTATTTTAGGAACCGGAACCAGAACCACTCATATCGGTTTCGGTTCCGAAACCGGCGGTTCCAAGGCGGTTCTGGTTCCATAGCCGGGTACCCGGTTCCACTGCTCACCCCTACACCTTACACAACCCCCCCGACATCACACGAAAACCCTAGCATGGATCTTCCCTAATATACGATTTTCAGACCATGATTCCGAGATTGGAAAAGGGCCTATCTCTCTCGAGGTCTCTTCTTTGGTGGTAGCATTTGTCAAAAGTATTTAGTCATGTTGGAATCTTATCAAGTTATTGTTTTTCAAAAAAGCTTCAAATAGAAGAGACTTTTTCTTCTTCTTTTCCGTGTTTTTGATGAGGCTTTCGTGTGAATAATGATCTAATTTTTGTTTTTATGCTTGCTGATATGCTTACTTCTTGTTTCCTTTTTGACGGGTTCTTAAGGTGGGTCTCTTTCTATGTAGCTCTAATATATCAAGGACAACTGCCACCATAGGAAGGTTGGGGAAACTCGGGATGTTTGAAAATGCAATCAGGGCATTGACGTTTGTTGGATCATATCTTGTGGGGAAGTAACACTACAAGGAATTAATCATTGACATGTGGTTTCTTTTCAAGGGGTGTTTCAAATCAAGATCAAGATAAAAAAAAAAACGTTGAAGCAAACAAAGTTGCAGGTCCGACAAGGTCGTCTTTTCCAAATAGGTCCAGGTGTTGGGTAACCATCGGAGTTGCAAATAGAGTTGAGATTATTGGAGTGCAAAGAAGCGGGTGTCAAAGAGGGTATGATCTAGGGGGGGGGGGGAGTAGACAGTGGTTGTCTTGATTTATATATATATGAAATATAAATATATATTGTATTATATAATTAATATATTTTAATTACTTTTAACGTAAAATGAAAAAAAAACATGAGTAAAATGCCCCTAATTTAACAGAAGAAAAATGATGTCCAAGCGATTTTTTAGGAGGGACAAAATTGAAAAAAAAACTTGGTTTTCTGTATAAATCCTCCTCCTGAAAGATTACTGAACAAACACTTTCTACATCATTAAATCACTACCAAACAGTCATGTATAGTTGACCGAATAATTGTGAGTCTCATTAAACTCACTGCCAACAAACATGACCTAATCCGAGTTTTTTTGCATACCATTATGGCCAACTTATAGTTTGTAGGGACGAAAACCGTTACTATCGACAAACCATAAGGACCAAAATTGTAGTTTACTCAAGTTCTTATCTTTTGTAGGTTTGACCCTGTGGTTAGAGAAGCCGTGACCTGGTTATGGATAACATTCGATCGTATCAAACCCGTATCCATGTATAAAAAACGAAGCAAATACGACGAATTGGAAAGTGTTGAAGAGCAGAGCACGCATCTTAAAGATAACGACATGCCCAAATAGATGTTGTTCATGGAGAAAATACCCACCACACCACATCTTATTCAACCTCCCTCCCACCTCTCTCTTCTGAATAAGTAAATTAATTACTCCATCCATTTCTGTTTATCTTGCCATATGTAAATCGGTTACCAATTTGTTTCGGATTTACCCCCTTTTTTTAGGAGGATTATTGATTGGGTTTATAGATCAAATGAGTATGATGGTGATGGAGGGTATGATGGAAAAGGGTGTATTAGAAGATATAATTAAGAGGTTATTGGAAGGTAGAGGAGGTAAACAGGTTCAGCTATCTGAGGTAGAGATCCGTCAGCTGTGTGTCAACGCTAGACAAATCTTCCTTTCTCAGCCTAATCTTCTTCACCTCCATGCTCCAATCAGGATCTGTGGTATGATACGGAACTTGTTTTTGATCGTATTTCATTTAGGATGTGTTTTTTGTGCAATTCAATTCGTATCATTATGATGCTCAAATCACAGATGGGTATGATTACAGAACTTGTTTTTAATCGTATTCCATTTAAAATATGTGTCTTTGTTCGATTCTTTTGATTATGATGCTCACTTTCAGATGGGTATGATTCGATTTGTACATATTCGATTGGGGTGCCCTAACTGTGTATATATATATATATATATATATATATTACTGAAGGGGGTTATTCATACTTGATCTGATTTGGGGTTTGTTTTCTTTGTTGTGTACTGGGTAAAATTCTCTTATTTAGGATCTCATCAATCATTTTGAATATATTGTTCTTGGTGATTTGGTACCTTCCTTTGAATTGTTTGGTTTTTGGGTTTCTGAGTTTGTTCATTCTCATGGCATTGTTGTTCTCTCTCTCTCTCTCTCTCTATATATATATGTATATATATATATATGTATATATATATGTATATATATATATGTATATATATATATATATATAGTTGGGATCATGTGAGACCAAAGGTTCGTGAGACCAATTTTTGTCCATTGATTAACTTTATAAGCTAATGATCTAATGGTTTAAAGTTGTACGGTGACAAGTTTGTGATTATTGAGAAGTCTCATGTGTTTATGAATCTTCCGATTGTCAGATTGTAGATCTAATCTAAGGGTTGAGAATTGGTCTTACGGGTCTCACGAAAAACTCTTGGTCTCACATGATCCCAAGTCTATATATATATGTAAATACATATAAAATGATTCAATTGGTTTGTGGGTTGGAATACAAGATTATGCATATAGTAGACAAATACCACTTTGGCCATATTTGGCAACTATTAACTGGTTTACAAGGCGAGAGCTTATTGGAAAAACCCGTTTGGTTAGCCGTAGCTAAGCTAGTTTCTTGAAAAACTATTTCAAGCCGTGTTTCATTAAGTTCCAAGGTTTTTTTAATTACATTTATGCCTCCTATATTTTTTCAAATAATTTGTCTAGAGTGCTCTTTTAGGTCATTTTACATTGTCATCTAGTTTATCAGCTAGTTTCATGAAACATGACTAGATTATCAACTAACAACTTAGCTGTTGATTTAGCTAGTTTATTAGACAACAACTAGCTTTTCAGCTAATATTTCTGGTAATTTAGCTCCTGTTTTTTGGTTTATGTGGATGATAGGTGATATACATGGACAATACCAAGACTTATTGAGGCTTTTCGAGTATGGTGGCTACCCCCCTTCTCAAAACTACCTCTTTCTCGGTGATTATGTTGATCGAGGCAGGCAAAGTTTGGAGACTATATGTTTATTGCTTGCGTACAAGATAAGGTATCCGGATAAAGTGTTCCTCTTGAGGGGAAACCATGAAGATGCTAAAATCAACCGCATATATGGGTTTTATGACGAATGTAAAAGGAGATTTAATGTCCGTCTTTGGAAGATATTCACAGATTGCTTCAACTCTTTGCCGGTTGCTGCACTAGTTGATGAAAAGATCCTTTGTATGCATGGTGGTCTTTCCCCAGAGCTCGAGAATTTGAATCAAATACAGGAAATTGAGAGACCAACTGAGATCCCGGATAATGGGCTTTTATGTGATTTATTGTGGTCTGATCCTGATCCGACCATAGAGGGTTGGTCGGATAGTGATCGTGGCGTTTCGTGTACTTTTGGAGCTGATAAAGTTGTTGAATTTCTTGGAAAGAATGATCTTGATCTTATTTGCAGAGGTCATCAGGTAAACTATTATTGCTCAAATATCCTTTACTTCTGTTTTGCAAATTTGTGTTTTTATCGAGCACTCGTCAAACCAGCCTCGTTGGATTTCTTACACTTTGTGGGACTTTTAGATGCTAAGATGGTGGGCATCTTTATGCATTTAAGGTGCCATTGATGCATAGCATCAACCCCAATGGATCGGCTTAGGCGGTGTTTGGCAACCATAAGCTATATTATCTTTTGAGCTTATTGAAAAAGTTTCATTTTGTTTATAGACCGACTTTTTGAAACCTACTTCAGGTAGCGTTCCAATAAGCTCCGGTGGTTTTTTTCCACTTCTTTTTTCCGTTACGCCTCTTATGTTTTTCCAAACATATATTTTTAAGTCATTTTACATCGTCATGCCGCTTCTTAGCTTTTTTTTTTTTTCTTACCAAACTTGGCTAGTACATCAGCTAACAACGAGCTTATTAGTCAATAGATAGCTTTTCAGCTAACAATTAACTTATCAGCCAACAACTAGCTGAAGTTTGCTGATCCTACACTTAGCGGGTAAACCCCTAGGTTCTTCTGTAATCTGCCAAGAGGTCTCAAGTTCGATTCCCACCAAGTGCCCAAAGTTCCTTGGGTGATTTAGGAAAATAAGCTTCTTAAATATACTTTTTAAATCCATGACTTTCCGATAGATATTGAGACATTCTTGTGTTAGGACACATCCTTCTTTCAGGTGAAGCGTTCTTTAAATCTGTCTGAAGGTGAAGTAATTAAAATGAATCTGTCGAAAAATTACCCTCCTTCGAGGGCCATTCCGTTCAGCCAAAATGCCGTAAATTTTGTCGGATCCATGTAATTGGGGTTCTTTACATGAACCTTGTTGAGTCAAAAGTGCTAGTACCAAGGCACCAGTCCTCGTGCTTTTTTGTTTACAGAAACATTGTACATGATTCAGGTGAGCCATATTACGACCCTTTTTAACTGCAGGTGGTAGAGGACGGGTACGAGTTTTTCGCTAAACGAAGACTCGTGACGATATTTTCAGCACCAAACTACGGAGGAGAGTTTGACAATGTGGGTGCCCTATTGAGCGTAGACAAATCCCTTGTGTGTTCTTTCGAGATCTTGAAGCCACTTGATTATGCCGAAAAGCCAGGAACTTCAAGGTTGCCTCTGAAAAAGGTAAAATCAGACTTCATTCTTGAACTTAATCGCTAATTGTCAAAATTTCACAACCAACACTTGACGTTTATTGTTCGTTTCAACAGCCACCGAAAACTAGAACGGCCTGACACAGAATCTTGAAGTTCCAAAGGTGAAATCTTGAAAAGCTTGAAGTCTGTAAGATGAGCAATCTGATGGCAATATACACTGTAGTTGGATGGATGCAATTAAACACCATTTCCAGTTGGTTGTTTTTATTGGAAAATATAGATTGAGGATGAGCCATTGTTGAAGGTTTTGGTGTTTGTATATTGATTGTAAGATGTGTTTTTCTTTGGAGAGAGTATGGAGTGTGTGTTGTTGGTATGTTGGAGATTTAACTTTTCGACATAGAAATCGAAGCTGAAAGTGTACGCTCGTTGCTGTGTCGTGTTCTTGGATGTAACGATGAAAACATGGAGATTGATGGTTTGGCGTTTTTTCATTGAAACCCTGGTTCCCTTGATCATAAAGATTGGAACTTGTCGATGATTCTGGTCAGAGGTCAACCGAGTTTGTTTTTCCTTTTTCATACTCGGCAGGGACTTCTTTCCTTGAAATTCATCAGAGAATTATACGGGACTGTTACGACAAAATTGGGTGTATTAGTTGCCAAAAACGTATACATCTCCTAACAGACTGCGTTATAAGACTCGTGTTTATATGACCAACTCATCAGTAGTAAAAGTGTTATAATAAGTTTCTTTTCCCTTGAAATTCATCAGAGAATTATACGGGACTGTTACGACAAAATTGGGTGTATTAGTTGCCAAAAACGTATACATCTCCTAACAGACTGCGTTATAAGACTCGTGTTTATATGACCAACTCATCAGTAGTAAAAGTGTTATAATAAGTTTCTTTAACGTTTTAACAGAAGAATGACAAAAGAAATTATTTTTGAAATTTTAATTTCTAACCCCACACTTCTTACGAATCTCACCTTTGGTCCCTGTTAACACTTCAATAGAACCTAAACGTATCATCGCTGCAGCGAAATCGTTTCTCCAAGCGTTCAAGTTACTCGCATATTTAGCTACTGTTCGGGCCGTCATCGGACTATCAAGTAGAGCTTGATCCGAAGAGAACAAAACCCTGTGTTGTTTCACATTACGATAATACTGATTGTCCAAACGATTCGGAGTCGCTAAATCAAGATCCGTAGTACCCGAGTTCCCGTTCTTTGGGCATTTCTTTTTCAAAACCGCCACAAAATTTGGATCCAATGAGGGATCGGCATGTGTCCCATTAAAAGAATAGAGACGAGGTTTAACAAAATTGCAACCCGATCTCCCTATAGAATGGGCGCCAGAGAGCGCCACCATATCACCAACACTTAGTCCTTTTGCCACAAAGGCTCTCTTGAGAGCCTCCACATCAGAGTCCGGTGACGGAAGGTCGACTTCACCGATATTTGAAACCCTTCCGTCCCGTCGTCCGGCAGGGACGGTGTATGAGAACCCACCAACGACGGCGGTGCTATCACGGGCGGCAAAAGCTAAGATGTCTGCACATGAGACGGTGTTTGGGCATGCGGCTTCGAGCTTGGCCTTAGCCTGGTCTATTATCTCGAGTCCTCTTAGGGTTCCCACATTGGCTCCGGCATCTTGCTCCGACTCTATTTCACTGTTCGGCACCGTTTTCAGTAGAAGTGAAGCATCACAACCCTAAAATTTGCATGAGACAACAAAATCGGGTTTATAGAATGGCAAAAATGTAAAAATATCTTAATAAACTACTTTATAAAACTTAAGCTTATAGAACTAAGAAATTATTCATGTAAAGTGTTACAATAAGTTTATATAACATTGTTAAGGCGGCGATAAACCATCTAAAAACTTATTATAACACTTTTACATATAACACGCAAGCGTTTGGACTTTGGTGTTATGTAATAAGTTTTATAAAATAATTTATTAAGAGACTTTGACAACCAGCGATAAACCTGCCGGAAATAGTGTTTTCTGGCCAAGTTTTCTCCGGCAGGCAGGTTTTCCGGCGGATTTGTCAACCGGAAAACACCTTCTGTTCTGTAGTGACTACGTACCCTGACAAAGCAGTCGTGGAAGAAGAGGCGAAGGATTCCGGCGGCCATTCCAGGGTTTGCAGTGACAGCCTTACTGACGGTATATCTGACAATCTGCTCGGCGGTGGGACATGTGGTTCTGTAAAACCCCATTTTCAACGGCTGTTGAGCTTCTGCTGCCATCATCAGAAACATGCACAAGAGAGAAAGCTTCAGAAACCATATCCAACAGATCTTCATTATTAGTAATTACTTGTTGATATGATGTATATATCCCACTCTGTGTGTGTGTGTTTGAGTTTAAGTGTTAATTAAGGGTAATCACTAATGAAGTATTTATATATAAAGGGTGATGAACAGTTGAAACCAAATTAAAATTATATATGACCTGGTCTTTGAATCCATATTGTTAATGGAGTATGATCTCTGATCAATAATTATTTATTTATTTTTTAATAGTTTTATTATGAAACCGTTTTTAAATTATTAATAAATGAATCTTATTTGACAAAAAAAAGTCTGACTCTTAATAATTTGTGACAAACTGCTACAAAATATGTTGCATTTGTCCCTTTGTTTGGGAAGAACTCAAAAAAACCGAATAATTATAAAAAAGATAAAAAAAAATATAATGTTAAATTAAAAAAATATGTTTTATATATGAAATTTGTTTTGTTTCAATTGTGATTATATTTTATCATTTTCGATTAAAAAATAGAGTAATAATTATTTTAGAAAATGATTATAACCATATTTTTAATTATATTAATTGAATCAACTCAATTTAATTGGTTAAGATAATTTTTATAATAAATTGAAATATATTTTTAATTTGATTATTGTATCTTAAAAGTTATTGGTAATAAGATTAGTCACAATCTATACTATATTATAAAACATTTGACAAATACTCTTAAAAATATTTTATATATATGAAGTACTATTTATTGATACATATTACTTAAAATTCAATATTACAAGTAAATTGTGCGTATGTACAACTTATTAAAGATTCATGTTTGAATCTGTGTAACTAACTGTAGATAATCTAAAGAATAAACATCTCATTTTATATATACAAAATATAAAAATTATAATTAAGATAATCATTGAGTTCTAACAAAATACTTAATTTTTTTATATTGATAATAATTAAGTATTTTAACCACAAGGGTGGTGCCTGATTGGTTTGAGCTTGACTCCAAAGGTCAAAAGTATCTGAAAAAAATAAAAAAAAATGAATTAAAAAAATACACAAAAAAGAGATTTTAAATAATTAGTTTGCTACTTTATTGATATTTTTTTTCAATTTTTTATGGTATCTTCATAGTTATATTTTATTCAAAAATAAAAACATCATCGTTTTCTCAAAGTCACATAAAACCGTATTATAACATTGATTGAAACAAAAAAAACGAAACATTAAATTCGAGATGTATCTCACTACATTGTACGAGTACCTTTCTAGTTCTATATAAAGCATTTAAAGTATATATCTCTTGAATTTCGATGATACAACTACACAAAACTACGAACGAGGTCAATAAATACAATAATGCTCATTGTCGTCCGAATTTATTATGGAAAGTGTCCTTGTGTCTAACACCGTTAAATAATATCAGTTAAATGAGAGGTATTTGAGTCTTTGTACGATGAAGGAATTGTTTTTTTTCTAGCATCTTAATCTTCAATTGCCAGCAATAACATATTTATTGTGTTTTTCACTACAAAACATCGACGTTTCACTGACGGAATAATCCGTTGGTAATCCATCGCTAAAAGATGGATCCGTAGGCGAAAGCCGGTCAGAAGAAATGTCATGGCAAAAGGCATCACTAACGGATTACCAATGGACAACTTCATTGATGGATTGCAATCACCGGCAAATACCTCTGGGATCTAGTCAGGGTGGTGTCCACTAAGCGGAGTGAAGTTATGATCGTTGAACTGTACGCCATTGACGTCTAATGCCCGTCTCTCGACCTATTTACGAGCATCCTTCATCTGGGTAAGGCACTTATTCCTCAAGATACGACCGAAGGCATTTACATATTAATCCAACCCAACCTAACACCCCTCCACCTCATCGCTAATCTTCTTTGGTGAACACATACAAACACTCGATAAACACATACAATCATACATATTGAAACAAATGCAAGAAAAGAAAACTAGACGAGTCAACATCAAAACAAGTTGCAATTTAGACAAATCATTTTGTTTATTTCCTCGACAGATGAACAAACATACGAACCCATCCCCAAACACGTACAACACACAAACACTTGATGAACACACACAATTATCCACCTGGACACAAGTGCATATTTGATTCACACACAAATCGATACCTCACCTCTCTTACACAGTGTCGTTACTATTCCTATGCCAAAGGCAAGTTATAGGGACAAAATCCCTTCCAAAATTCTTATTTTTCAGGTTACTGGAGCTCAGACGAAGGGAACTGGTTTAGGCATTATCGACTTAGGTTTAACCATGAACATACAATCCGCTATGTACCCACTGGCAATCATAGAGACGAAAACGGAGGTGGCTTCCTGAGACACTATGGGAGTGAGAGGTGATCCTAGGCACACCGCTTGTCAATGTATGTGTGCATACATCTAATAATATAATATAATATAATATTTTTGTAATTTAATTTCTGTAGGAAAATGGAGAAATGAACCAAAATGTCCTAACTAACGGTACTCCAACTAGCAGTGTTAGTTAGAGAGACTACTTTTATAGCAACATACAGATCAAAATGACCATTATTGAAGCTTAGAAGCATTGTTGTAGTTTCGTGTAAACCACATGGACCAAATTTTAGTTTACTCTTAATGTTAACTTTAATTCCAAAACCTAATCAAATGTAGATTTTTAAGTATCTAACCATTTTTCTTCTTGTTTCTAGTAGAAATAAAAAGTTTACAGTTTAACTTGACATATACTGATGTTCTTTTTGATAAATAATTGAAACGAAAAATGATTCTAAATTAAACTTAATTAAGAAAATTGTTAATTAAGATCAATTTTATCAGTATTTTACAATTGAGGAGCGATCAAATGCAAATCATCTAATTTGTACAAACCGTGCAAACCTCATTTAAACAATCATAATTTTTCATTTTGTTCATTTTTTTTTTTGTAATTATGAGAGGTAAATTAATCATTTTTATTGTGGGGGGTGTTAATCATGAATATTATCATCTTCAATATTTTAATTTTAGAAAAATACATGAAATAGTTTCATTAAAATTTAATTAAGGATTATATAAAACAATTTCATAACCACATATGAAACAACTTCATCAAAAAAAAGTATTATATGAAACAATTTCATGAAAATTTTCATAAGATTAAACAATGAAATCGACGGATGAGGGTGATTTGCACAGTTTTATACAAATTGAGTGGTTTGCATTTGATCGCTCATCTCTTACAATTATTATTATTATTATTATTATTATTATTATTATTATTATTATTATTTTGACATAGAACATGAATTTGGTGATGAGATGTGAGTATGACAAATGGAATATGCTTGCAGTTTGGCTATCTTCATTGAACGGCGGCTTAGGAACCATCGTAGGGACGGTGAAAATGGTAATATATTCTACTTTAGATTTATATATAAGGTTGGTTCATGTGAGATTATAGGTTTTTAGTGAGACCTATAAGATTAATTTATGTTTATTGATCAACTTTATAAATTAATGATTTAATGGTCTAAAGTTGCAGGATGGTAATTTTGTGATTATTGAAAAATCTCGTGACAATTTTGTGATTATGAATGTTTAGATTGTAGATCTAATCCAATGGTTGATAATTGGTCTTACGGGTCTCACGAAAAAACATTGGTCTCACATGATTCCAAGTCTCTCTCTCTCTCTCTCTCTCTATATATATATATATGTATGTATATATATGGGTCCATTCAAGGGAGAACTAATTAGTTTGTGATAACTGTGAGATCCAATCTCAACCACAAATTAATAAATAAATTAGGAAACTAATATTTTTGATAATTTGACTTAAAATTATAATTAAAGGACATTTTATGTATTAATTTTTTTCTCTCTCCTCTCACTCCTTCTCCTACCTCCGGTCTCCGACGAATACCATGTGATACCCAAAATACACCAAGATATACAATGTAATACCCAAAACACACCAAGTAAAACTTTGAGACCACTGTGATACCATTGTGATACCAACAGTGGTACCACTGTGTCGCAGGTGGGTATTTAGTGGTCGATCATCAGATACGGCGTCTTGGCCAGACAAGATGACCGGAGGAGGTCACCGGAGTGGTGGTGGGTGCCGGAGAAGACCACTGGATTTGGTCCCTGTGTATCCGTGTGTGTGTGTATATATATATTAAACTAATTAAAGTAAATTGAATAATCAACACAATTTACTAATTTACCTTTTGTTTTATTTTAATAAATAACATTAATTATTTAAAATGATTGGTTCATATTGGCCTGACAATTACCACAAATTATATAGTTTTCATTTAATTAGACGATCATTTTAGAATATATATAACTATTCTAATGAAATATGAGACTTCCTTATGTATACTTTGCAATTGACAACTTGTAAACAATAAATAGTTAGACAAAGTCAAATCTTAAGTTGATTTGAATATTATAAATTATTATTATTTGTCAAATTATTCAAGTGTCTTTACTATATCCGACAACACTAAAAACCTTATGCGGGTCGGAAACGTAAACAACTATTTAACTAGGTGTTTATAAAGTCAAGCGGTTTAATTGGACTTCATTGATGCAATTACAATCTCGTGAACATCATTAGGTATTTGCTTGTAATTGGATCGGATAAAATCCAAAATTTTGATGTCCAAATTGGATCAATCCATAATCCAATAAAACAAGGAATATCCGTCTTTATGCTAAAGAGGATGTATTGAACTCATAATTCATTTAGATACTTTTTATGAATATCAACTAAATATCGTAAGTAAATTGCTCCCGATTGTTCAATCATTTGATAACCAGAGTTATTCTTTGATAAATGATCACTATAAGTCAGACTCAATAAAATTTGATCAATCCCTTTTTTTGTTGTTAAGGTGGAGAACTGGACAAAGAATTCTCTTCTTTCATCATCAATCGAATCACTGTTTACAACCCAGGATTCTATTTTAT